TATATTTAAATAATTTAACTTTTAAAAATTAATAAATATATCATTGTCCCACTTTAATAAAAGATGACAATAATATATATATATATATATAGAAACACAGTAAGCCCTGTCCCATCTCCCCTTAAACGGGTAACGAGGTTGGAAATTACCCGACGGGGCGGGGAGGTTGCGCCATCCCTACATTTAAGTCGAGATATATTTTGCATAGAAAGAAATTTATTTAGTAAGAGTGACGCGATTTCAATAATACAAGTTGGAAAGAGAATTAGAGTAGTTTTAGAAACGTGTTATTTTATAAATGCAGTGGAATTTGAATGTGGCTTTTTTCAAAAGGAAAAAAAATGTTGACTTTTAACGTGGTTGTTAGGAATGACAACGGGACGGGTATGAGACTGGTTGGTCATTCCTACTCACGTCATATCCGATATTTTTATTACTTTATCACATTATCATACCCAGATAAAACGGGACGGGACAGGTCTTTTTTAATTTTTGTTTTTGTCTTTTATTTATTTTATTTTTTTAGTTAATAATTTTTTTTTTTCTAAGTTGTTAAGAATAACTCATATTCTTTTTAAAAACAATGATAAATTTTTTATTTTTGTTTGATAAAAAACTTAAATTTTAAATGAGACGGGGATTATGTTGTCTGTACCCGCTTCAGGGCAATGACTCACACCCCATCCTCGACCCGATTACCCAATTAGGTGGGTTATCTCCGCCACATTCGAGACGGTGTCCTACGAGTACCGGGTTGAACAAATTTTTTTTTTCCATCAGTGATCGTGTAAAATTATAAAAATATAAATAACAAAAAAATTGAGCAAGTGCAAAAATTCAAAAGGTTTAAACACGTGGCTTAACGTAAACTGAACTAACACGTCTATAAATAAAGAACAATAATGGCAATGCTTTTCTAAATTCTCTGATTGGTCACTATCATTCATCAAAACAAAACGCTTTAGTTTTGGAACCATTTGGCCACTTGTACTCTTTGTATTACTTTGAACTTTAGAATAAATTTGTTTGAAAATGATTTTTTTTTT